TTCTAGTTCTATTTTTTTCTCGACTATCAGCTATAGGGAAGCTCGAGATTGGAGGTGAAGCGCCCCCTTAGCCCGTCATGCGGCCGACTGTTTTGCCGTCTTAGCATTCACTAATTTACTTATAGGGCTGCCTCGCCGCCCATGCCTTACCGCTTTTGATTTGGGACCGACTCAGTGCGATTCAAACTGCCTACCAATTATGCACGCAGGAGCAAAGGGCTGCCTTGAGTTGAAACCCAAGGCAATGAGAGAAGAATTGGTTATACATGAAAAAACCTATAAATAAAGGCTGCTCTCCCAAGCGTCTGTCTTCTTTTAAAAGTATCAACAACATCAGATTTTAAAGATCTCGCCCAAAACATAGTTGGTAATATGGCACTAGTCCTAATTAGATCTATAAAACCGCCTATACGAAATCACCATGATCATCTCCCGCAAAACCACGCACAACCGTGGTCTTTCCGCTGTCCCCTGGATTACACCATATCGATCTATATAAAGAGGTATTTATTCTGTCTCTTCCCTCATCTAATATATCAACTATTCTTTTGTCCTGTGAGTATTACGGAATCTTCTATAGTTTATACTACTATCTCAAATCTTTGGCTGGATTATTTGCTAGAGATCCATTCAAATTCCGTCTTTCCTTTATCTTTGGAAGGACAAGTTGGTATACATATCCATGGATATAATGAGATCCATTGGACCCAGGAAAAAGACCAGGAGGTTAGCTGAGCAAAGGACCTCAAAGGCTCTGGTCTTCGCAGATCATAAAGTAAGGGATTAATAACACCATATCAACAAAAGGTACACAACATCCCGAGGTCCTTGCAATCTCGTACAACATACAGAAGCTTGGACCCATATGTCGGGGCCGATCTAGACCCACTTGGCCGAAAATGTCGGGGAACTAACATCAGAACTCCGGTGAGTGTTGTGTAGTTGGGTATATGTTTTGAATTACGTCTTTGAATTCCAAGATAGTCGGCAAACGTGATATGTCTAGATAAATAGAATCATGAGGAGGTAGCAGTAAATAGTATACCTCGCAAATATCAGTGTTACCGAGGACGCCCGTGGACGAAAACGCTAAATCAGGTGACTAGCAACGGCCGAGGTCGGAGGGCGCAGAGGGGCGCCGAGCCAATCAAAAGTCCCGAATTTCTTGACTCAGAGCGGTCGGACATTTTGGGTTTAAGGCGTTTTTTCGGAATCCCCAGAGAAGAGTCACAGGAATCTTCAGCGGTCAATTGGCACACTTTTTCCTTAAATTACTCTCCTCTCATATTTTTTTGGCTTGGCCTCATTCACAATGATGCCTTTAAGACCCTCAAAAAGCGCCCTGCGCGCATTCCACCTTAAGCAGCTTGCTGGCCGTCGACCTTTTTCGACCTCGTTTGTGACTTCGGCCGCTTCGCCCCACTGCTCCTCTGTCCAGAAGCGTAATCAAAGCACAGCTACAGTTTCAAATCCGTTAGTTTTTCTTCCCTATGATCACAATGCAATTGCAGTCTGGTTCTAATTTGTTTAATCGTCAGGGAATCCAGACCCGTGCCTAGTCCGGCATTCAACCAGGAGCCCCATCGCAATGAGATCTCTCCCTTGCAACACCGCCAGCTCCCCGAGCTCGACGACTCGTATGTTATCCTGATAATGGCTTGGACACACTGAAACTGACTAGCTGGTATAAAGAATGGTTGGAATGAGTGGTGGAGAGATCTTCCATGAGATGATGCTTCGCCAGGGTGTTAAGCACATCTGTGAGTATTTTATGCTCAATATTGCACAATTGGCCAATTCTAATACTTGAAATGCAGTCGGTTACCCTGGTGGTGCCATTCTCCCCGTTTTCGATGCTATTTACAACTCCAAGCACTTCGAATTCCTTCTCCCCAAGCATGAACAGGGTGCTGGTCACATGGCGGAGGGTTATGCCCGTGCTTCTGGCAAGCCCGGTGTCGTTCTCGTTACTTCTGGCCCTGGTGCTACCAACGTTATCACTCCTATGCAAGATGCTATGTCCGATGGTACCCCGATGGTTGTTTTCTGTGGTCAGGTCCCTACTAGCGCAATTGGAACCGATTCCTTCCAGGAAGCCGATGTTATTGGCATCTCCCGTGCTTGCACCAAGTGGAACGTGATGGTCAAGTCCGTTGGTGAGCTGCCTCGCCGCATTCAGGAAGCTTTCGAGATCGCCACGAGTGGCCGTCCGGGTCCCGTCCTGGTTGACCTGCCCAAGGATGTCACTGCTGGCATTCTCCGCAACCCCATTCCCATGCACAGCACCATCCCTTCGCTCCCTAGCGCAGCTACCGTCGTAGCCCGCGAAATGAGCCAGAAGAAGCTCGAGAGCACTATCAGCCGTGTTGCTAACCTCGTTAACGTTGCCAAGAAGCCCATCCTCTACGTCGGACAGGGTCTCCTTGCTCGCCCCGATGGTCCCGAGATTCTGAAGGAGTTTGCCGATAAGGCATGCATCCCAGTCACCACCACCCTGCAGGGTCTTGGTGGATTCGATGAGTTGGATCCTAAGGCTCTCCACATGCTGGGTATGCACGGATCCGCTTACGCCAACATGGCCATGCAAGAGGCCGATCTGATCATTGCTGTTGGTGCCCGTTTCGATGACCGTGTCACTCTCAGCATCCCCAAGTTCGCTCCTCAAGCCAAGCTTGCTGCTACTGAAGGCCGCGGTGGTATCGTACACTTCGAGATCATGCCCAAGAACATCAACAAGGTTGTCCAGGCCAACGAAGCCGTGGAGGGCGACTGTGCCGACAATCTCCGTCTTCTTTTGCCCCATGTCAAGGCTGTTCCTGAGCGTCCTGAGTGGTTCGAGCAGATTAATGACTGGAAGCAGCGCTTCCCCCTGTCGCTCTACGACCGCCAGACCGCGGACGGCCCTATCAAGCCCCAGGCTGTTATCGAGAAGCTTAGCGATCTTTGCGCCAACCGCAAGGAGAAGACCATCATTACCACTGGTGTCGGACAGCACCAGATGTGGACTGCTCAGCACTTCCGCTGGCGTCACCCTCGTACCATGATCACCTCCGGTGGTCTCGGTACTATGGGCTTCGGTCTCCCCGCTGCTCTTGGAGCCAAGGTGGCCCGTCCGGACTGCCTCGTCATCGACATCGATGGTGACGCTTCTTTCAACATGACTCTCACTGAGCTTTCCACTGCTGCTCAGTTCAACATTGGTGTCAAGGTCCTCCTGATTAACAACGAGGAGCAGGGCATGGTCACCCAATGGTAAGCTCTTGTCTTTGGTCTTCCTAGTATATTTGACTTACTTTTTCTGTTCCAGGCAAAATCTGTTCTATGAGGATCGGTACTCCCACACTCACCAGCAGAACCCTGACTTCGTTCCCCTTGCCAAGGCTATGCGTGTCGCCGCCGACCGCTGCTTCAAGCCTTCCGAACTTGAGGAGAAGCTGCAGTGGCTGATTGACCACGATGGTCCCGCCCTCCTCGAGGTCATCACTGACCGCAAGGTGCCAGTTCTTCCCATGGTGCCTTCTGGCCGCGGTCTGCATGAGTTCCTGGTCTATGATGAAGGTATGCAACCCCCTAGCTAGTTGTTGACTTGAACCCCCACTAACTCATTCATTATAGCCAAGGACCTGGAGCGCAAGGAGCTGATGCGCGAGCGTAATGTGGACTTCAGTGTCCGGACAGAGTAGGTGACTAGCCAATGTCACCTCCACAATCATATTTCTGTACTTTGATATCCATGGCGTTTCTTGGCTGGTTCACCAAAAGCGATTGGGGCAATATCTGTCCAAAGATAAACAACAAATTCGTTAACCAGTTTGCTCTTGGAGGTCATCTTCGGCAGAGAAGTTTGGTGCTCGCATGGGTTGTATACGCCTGTTGGAGTTTGCCATTCGCTATATCCTTGAAATAAGCATGGCCAATTGCATGAAACTCGTGCTTCACCATAGCCTTTGATTGATGTTGGCCTTTTCTCTTGCCGGGTTGTTCCTCTTGTATATAATCATTGACATCTCGGGTCCCTCGATGGGACTTGGGAAATTGATACGTTCGGGTTCCATTAAATAGGAGCAGTTAGTCATTGAAAACAATTTTATCTCTTGTTCTACTAAGTCATACGCACTTCCATATATGTTTACCATCCTAGATGGCTGTCTAATTGGCTAACAGTGTTCGTAGCTCCCTAGAAGATTGGCCCATCCACTCCAGGGCTGACTTGCGTTCTTTCATATCCCTAAAGAGGCAAGTAGAGAGTCGAGGGCTAGCCACTTGGATGGAAAGCAAATTAAACTGGGTCATTTCTTGATATTACTTTGCCCTATAGTTCAACCTTGGAATAGAGCAAGTATGCCGATTACATTGTTTAAAGGGCAGCAAAAAAGGCCTGCATGTTTATAGCTAGCCCTGGAGCCAGAGTAGAATTATGTAAATTGGCGACTACCTACATACCTACCTACCCAGGTATCCATCCATGAACTACTCACGCACCTGACAATTTGATTATCTCTTTCTTTCCTTGCCCCTTCACACTCTTTGCTTCCAACCATCTTCTTCCATACCCTCTATGTTGCTACAGCAAACATCCATCAAAGAGCAGCATATTGCATTGCTTTCAACTCCTTGGCCTTCACGGACCATATGTGCTCTTGACATCACCACAGTTCAAGATCTTCCTCTTCAGCATCCTTGCTTCCACACAGCATCTGACCAGAAAGTGACACGACACCATGGACACCCAAAAGTTTGTATTAGATCTTTTTTGCTTTTTCAAGATATGGCAACCGATCTGAGAGATATCTGAAGAGCTCTAGAGAATATTCTAAGAAATTTGTGGAAGACGCTAACCCATTTCACCTGTAAAAGGTGTCGTGACTTCCTCAGAAGTAATTGCACATGGAAAAACTGCAAATATACCCATGTGAGCAATGGCCAAAACATCGGACCGAGATCCCCAGGCCGGATCCAACGCCCTGAGCCTTCTCCCCGACCAGCTCATACCTTGCCAAATGCAGAAAAGGAGTTTCGAGCGTGGCGATGTACAATTCCTTTGCGCACGGCAGCCATCCGTCCCTCCTCTGGGAGGAAAACGACCATCTTCCAGAAAGCGAGACAATTGATTGAATACGACGCCAGTACACGGCAAGAAGTGATCCGCACACTGGCAAGTGAGGATGGTTTGCGTTTGGTCTTGGACATTGTCCAGGAGAATTTCGAGGACATGAACCCGCAAACGAGAGACCTAATCTTCAAGACACAAGTGTTGCCATTTCTACAAATAGTCACAAGCCCCGAGGTCATATCCTCGTTAGTACTAGAGCAGGCGGTTGGCACTATCTACAATGTCTTGTTTGGAATCGACGGGTCTAGAGCAGCACGGTGGCTCAATTTTATCTGCGGCGTTCTCGAAGTAGACACTACCAACGAAGGCAGTGCTATGTTACTGGAGGCATCTCTACACACGTTTTCCCGCATCGCGGACCTGAATTCTACGGCTCCTATCCAGGACAATCTGCATGCCGTGGCACAGAGATTTGAAACTGTCTTCGCCTCAATGAGCAACAAGACAGGCATGGGCAGTAGACTTCATCAATCTCGGTTGCACCTTGATCGTATTCATCAGCGCCTGGAGACTGGGAAATTGTTTCCAATGGGTACGCCGGAGAAGAAAGTCAAGAATGAAAGCAAAGTCGCTTTCATTGCCAACCGTGAGACTCCCGGGGGCAGACACAACAACGACTTTGACGACATTTGCCAGATTAAGATTATGCCTAGTTTTGAGGAAATCTGCAGCCTGCGAGCCGAGTACTTGCCTGTCAATAACCCACTTCAGTGGCATATCGATGGTATGGACGGATTGCTAGATCGAAACTTTCGGTTGCTGCGAGAAGACACTGTCGGCCAACTTCGAGATGCCATTCACCATGAACTGAGTCCGCATGCCCAGCAATCACAGTTGCGCAAGCTCGTATATCCCAAGTCAATCGTGGTCAATCTCGAATTCAACTGGCTTTCCGGTCTTTACTTCGAAGTCGACTTCCCTCAGCCTGCTCCAGTCAAAAACTACACACCAGTGGCCCGAGAGATGTGGTGGCAGAGCTCAAAACGTCTACAGCCCGGTGCGCTTGTGTGCCTAATCATCCAAAAGGATGTGGTTTTGTTCTGCACCGTGACACACCGTGACATGTCACCCAGGCGTAAAAAGGAGAATGTCCTTCCACAGGATCCCGTCCCGCCACAGAATAGGGCGGAGCCTAGAACACTGTGGAAGAGCTCCACGAGAGGCTCGGTTGTATTGACGTTGGTTGATTCTCGATACACAAACACTCAAGTCGTTCTAGATCTTTTCAGTCCCAAAAGGCCCACCATGTCTCTGGTGGAGTTTCCAGGAGTCATTCTTCCGGCCTTTGAACCGGCGCTCCAGGCACTTCAATCGATGAAGGTGGCACAGAACCTGCCTTTTTCAGAGCTTTTTGTCCCATGGGCCTTCGACAATTTTGACCTAGCTGATATGGCTCCTCCATTGTATGCTACACAGCCTGGCTTTGCATTCGATCTCCGCTGCATCATGAAAGATGACACTAGTTTCTACGTCCGCGTTGATCAACCATCTAACGTAAAATACGTACAGGATCATTCAATCCTGGATGGTGCACAGGCTCATGCGTTGATTAGTTGTTTGAAACGGAAGCTCGGTTTGATCCAAGGACCACCTGGTACCGGCAAGAGCTACACTGGTGTGGCTCTTGTTAAAGTCTTATTGGCAAACAAATATGCGGTGAAAACAAGACTGGGACCCATACTATGTGTCACATATACCAATCATGCGCTTGATCAGCTTCTTGAGGCTTTACTGGACAACAATGTGACATCGCAAATCGTTCGTATTGGATCCCAGTCAAAGTCGGAGAGGTTGGAAAAGTTCAACCTTCAGACTGTTGCCAAGGATACAGCAAGAACAAAGATGGAGAAAAAAGAAAGATGGAGCACCGCCGAGAGACTCTCATTGTGTGAGGATGACTTCCGAGCCCTTGACCTGAAAAAGGAAGTCCCCATTACTCGTCTCAAGACCTATATCCAACAGACATATCCTCACCACCACGATCAGCTATTTTCGCTGGTTCAAACAGGCGGTTTCTATGGAGTAAAAACTGAAAGCCCTCAGGCCACGATCACCTCCTGGCTTGACTCAGCAGCTAAAGACAGTGCTCATCCACGGCCTGTGGACCAACTTAAGAACATCAATGTTTGGGAAATGTCCCAAAAAGAACGACAGAATCTTTACAACCGGTGGTGTCGTGATTATCGGGCAGACGCGGACGAAAAGGTCAGGCACATCGTTTCATCGCACAAGGCTGCCAAACAGGGGTACGACAGCGTCCAGGATGAGATGCACCTTCGCTGCCTGGCTGAAGCAGATGTCATTGGCGCCACTACAGCTGGACTTGCTCGCAGACTGGATGTGTTCCGAAGACTTCCATGCAAATTCATGCTGTGCGAAGAGGCTGGTGAAGTTCTGGAATCACATATACTTACGGCGTTTCTACCTTCTGTTGAACACGCAATTCTCATCGGCGATCAGCAACAGCTTCGCCCTCAAGTTCAAAATTACGATCTTTCTAGCGAGAATCCTCGGGGTGGTGCGCAATACTCACTCGATATCTCCTTGTTTGAAAGACTGGTGAGCTCAAACAAAAGCCCCATGGGCTGTGGAGCTCCTTTCAGCACACTGGAAACACAGCGGCGAATGCACCCATCTATTGCTCGGTTGATCCGTGAGACCCAGTATACAAAGTTGAAGGATGATCCATCTGTTTCAGGGTACCCGGAAATTATGGGGATGCGGAAACGATTGTTCTGGTTGGATCACCGACAGCGAGAGGGAGGACCTGATCCTGACGCCATGTCGACATCTCACTGGAATAGCCATGAAATCGATATGACCGTTGCGCTGGTCAACCATCTTATTCAACAAGGTGAATACAAGCACGGAGACATTGCGGTGTTGACTCCGTATCTGGGCCAGCTTCACCGGCTACGAAAAAGGCTCGATGAACTCTTTGCCATTGTAGTAGGTGGCCGTGACCGGGAGGATCTCAAGCAGGCGGCTTATGGGGATTATCAAGACAAGGACAGCCCCATGGTCAAAGCAGCCTTGTCACGAACTCTTCGTGTGGCCACTGTGGATAATTTCCAAGGCGAAGAGGCTAAGGTTGTTGTCATATCTCTGGTCCGAAGCAACACACAGAACAAATGTGGCTTCTTACGCACTCCCAATCGGATCAATGTTCTGTTGTCGCGGGCACAACACGGCATGTACATCATCGGCAATTCGGAGACCTCGATCCATGTTCCCATGTGGGCTCAAGTGGTAGAGATTTTGAAGCAGGGCCAGAATATCGGAACGTCCCTGGAACTTCAATGCCCTCGCCATCCAGATACACCTATTGCGGTCTCGACGCCAGAAGATTTCCCAAAGTTCTCTCCCGAAGGAGGTTGCAACCTGCGGTGTGTCAACCGGCTGAGTTGTGGACATGCCTGTGCTCAGAAATGCCATTCGGATCTTCTCCACAACACTGTCTTTTGCCTGGAGCCTTGCCCTCGACCGTTTAGTGGCTGTAACCATCCATGCCCTAAGCGATGCGGAGACACTTGTCCGGAAAAGTGCATGGTAAACGTACATCAAAAGCACAGAGCCCTCCCTTGCGGTCATTTAAAGCCAAATCTTCCTTGTTGGCAGGCACAACATATCTCGAAAGTTTGCTGTCAGGTGCGTGTGGAAAAGACAGTCCGGGGCTGCAATCATACAGTCTCACTGCCATGCCACATCGATGTGGAATCGAAAGACTATCGCTGCATAGCACAATGTCGCATCCCCCTGCCTTGTGGACACCTGTGCAAGAGGCTGTGCTACTGCTGCTTCACTATAAGTGAAAGCGCCATAGTCAACCATGGAAATTGCGAGCAACCTTGTGACCGGGATCACTCTGCGTGCGCTCATACCTGCAACGTTCCCTGCCATGGTGAGAAGCCATGCCCTCCATGCAAAGCTCCTTGTGAAGTGCGTTGTGGCCATTCCAAGTGCCCGCGAAAATGCTACGAGCCGTGTACACCTTGTGCGGAAGAAAAGTGTCTCTCGGCCTGTCCCCACAGCGTTTGCTCAATGCCATGTGCAGCCCCTTGTAATCATGTTCCATGTTCCAAGCGATGCGAGAAGAAGCTGGATTGCGGGCATCAGTGCCCATCAGTATGTGGAGAAAAATGTCCTTCATCCTCCTTCTGCCAAACCTGCGGAAATGAGTACATCCAAAACCATCAAGTCGATTTCATCCTGGGCCAAACATACAAAGAAATCAACTTGGACGAAAACCCATGCGTGTTCCCCAAATGTGGGCATTTCTTGACAATTGAAAACATGGATGCGCAAATGGACATGGCCAGCTACTACGAGGTCGATGCCAGTGGAAAACCCGTTTCTATCTGGGTGTCATTGGTCCCTTTCTCTATCCAGGACATCAAAAAATGCGCCACCTGTCGTGGCCCATTGAGAGACATTGCACGATATGGTCGGCTTGTGCGCCGAGCTATCCTTGATGAGTCGACTAAAAAATTGATCATCTTAACCAATCAGGAATATGTCCCTCTTGCACAGGAACTTCCTCGGCTTGTTCATGAATTAAACGCAACTGAGGGTGAAGGAAAGTATCCATGGCCACCCGTGATTGAGATACGTGGCCCGCGAAACCAGCAGATCCAGAAAATGGCAGAAGTCGTCCAGAGCACAAATCCAGGTCGATGGGATTCGATCCTTGATCTGAGAAAGCGGGTCGATTACTATCGGCGCCGTGTGAAACCCGAGGAGCAACCATTTGAGAGAGTTCGGAAAATGATTGAGAATGCTCGATACCGCGGAACAATGAAAACCAACCCTGATGATGTCGATAATGTGCCACAGACCAAAGGTTTCCTACAGGGCACTGCCCTCTTAATTCGTCTGGACATTGCTTTGCTCGTTGACCTTTTGAGTCTCGTTTCCCAAGGACGATCAAGCGAGGTGACACCTCGATTCGAGCTTGATCTACAGAAGAACAAGGATGATTGCAAGACCCTCATCCAGCAAGCAGCCACTCACCGACGACTTCTGCAGCACGTAGAAGGTCATATTTTCCTAGCACAGCTCTATGCCCTTGAACGAGCACATTGTTTGATACCAGAGAAGAGGGAAGGTATCTTGCAGCACGGCCAGGCTGCCATTCAGAAAGCTAGAGATCTTTGCGAGGCGTACCCAAGCCAGACACGAGGATTGGCAGATGAAGTTTACAGCGTCGAGAAGATGTTGCGCAGAGGCACAATGTACACAATTATCACCAACGGCGAACGAATGGAAGTCATTTCAGCGATGGCTCAAGAGTTCAGTGGAACTGGGCATTGGTATTACTGTCGCAACGGACATCCATTTACCATTGGGGACTGTGGGGCAGCCAGGGAGACAAGTCGCTGTCCCGAGTGCGATTCCCCGGTGGGAGGCGAGGATTCACAATTGGCAGAGGGAGTTACTGCAGCGGAGGACTAGGATCGGGATAGGGCGAGATTGAATCTTTAGGCTTGAAGGGAGAGAGGTGGTTGGGTTTTTTGTTCTTTGCACTTATCATTCATATCAATTTGCTGCCATATGGAGGATAACAAAAGTACTTTCGTTTTTTTTTTACCAGAGTAGGCTTTGCATAAATATTCAAGTAAAAATAATGGACGCTTTGTAGATTGAAAGCCCAATATAAAAGCCCTGGAGAGGTGTCGTGTTACCGCTATCCGCTGTCCAGTGACGTCTCGGTCTCAAGGTGCCACTCCCCAAGCTTATCCTCCACAACCTCCTTCCACTCCTCCCTCCTCCATTATTTCCACTTTGAATTCTTGTTTTTATGAATTGATTTGTACAATCTCTTGCTAGCTCATTGTCTTTGCGTTGCATGTGTTCACCCTGCTCTACCTCCCCCTAGCTTCCGCCCCTCACCTGTTCCATGATGGCTAGCCCACCACCCGTCACCGAGGATCAGAACCGCCTCCTCGAGGAGGCATTGGGGGTGGTGAGGCAGCAGTCGAGTCTGATGCGCAAATGTCTCGAGACTCCTGGAAAGCTCATGGATGCGCTGAAATGCGGGTAACGCCTCCGATGAATCCCTCTAGGCAGCGACCTCGGAACGTGCGCAGTATGTTAACAGCTTGAAATCTACCTCTACAGATCGACTCTTGTCTCCGAACTACGAACCCCCAGTCTCGGCCCGAAGCAGTATTACGAATTGTATATGGCCGTCTTTGATGCGCTGCGACACCTTTCCGTCTACCTAAAGGAGAACCACCCCGTCAACCACCTTGCTGACCTGTACGAGCTCGTTCAGTATGCCGGCAATATTGTCCCCCGATTGTACTTGATGATCACCGTCGGTACAGTTTACATGTCCGTCGAGGATGCGCCGGTCAAGGAGATCATGAAGGATATGATGGAGATGAGCCGAGGTGTTCAGCACCCGATCCGGGGCCTGTTCTTGCGATACTACCTCTCTGGCCAAGCACGGGATCATTTGCCCCTGGGAACTGGTGATGGTCCAGAGGGTAATATGCAGGATTCGATCAACTTTGTTTTGACGAATTTCGTGGAAATGAACAAGCTCTGGGTTCGGCTTCAGCACCAGGGTCCTTCACGAGAGCGGGAGAGACGCATACAAGAACGACGTGAATTGGAGCTGCTTGTCGGTAGCAACATCGTTCGACTCAGCCAGTTGGTTGATCTCGAAGGGTACAAATCCGGTATTCTGCAAGCGCTTCTAGAACAGGTTGTCCAATGTCGAGATGTCCTCGCGCAGGAATATCTCCTGGAGGGTACGGCTCTCTTTGCTTCTTTTTTGTGTTTGAAGACTCCTTTTGCTTGGGTTATTTACTAATCTGATCAATAGTTATTACAAAGGTCTTCCCAGATGAATTCCACCTGCACACCCTGGACCATCTTTTATCTGCCATTGCCAGGCTTAACCCACATGTGGATCTGAAAAAAATTGTCATTGGTCTTATGGACCGCTTGTCTTCCTATGCCGCGAGAGAAGCGGACTCGGCAGTAGAGCCAGAAGCACGGAAACAGAGCGAGGAAGAAGCTGTCACCAAGCTATTGCAAAAGCTCGAGCTTGCCAAAGAAACCAAAGCCGAAGAATCAAAGGAAGTCAGTACCGATGACAGTTCCAAGGAAAATGGTGCTGAGGACGACAAAGCCGAAGCACCCAAAGAAAGCTCTGAGTCTGCTGAACCGCCAACGGAAGAAAAGCAGGCTGAAAATGGGGACGAGGCTAAGCCTGGTATTCCAGCAGAAATCAAGCTGTACGATATCTTCTATGACCAAGTGGTTAATTTGATCAAAACACGTGCATTGCCGATTCAAGATACCATGGCGCTGTTGGTATCACTTGTCAATCTGGCTTTGAACACCTATCCAGATCGGTTAGAGTACGTTGACCAGGTCTTGGACTTTGCGACACAAAAAACAGCCGAATACACTGATCATGCCGATTTGCATTCAGCACCAACCCAACAACACATCCTCCATCTTCTCAATGCTCCTCTCAAATCTTACATCTCGATCTTCACAGCCTTGGCGTTGCCACATTACCTGCCACTTCTGACCTCACAGTCATACCCCACAAGGCGGGCTGTTGCAGGCGAGGTAATTCGCAGTCTTTTGAAGAACAAGATCTTGGTTTCCACAACGGAAAACCTCGATCGTGTGCTCCAGGTGGCAAGAGTATTGATCAAGGAAGGCATGCAGCAGTCTGTTGGCTATCCCGGGTCACAGTCCCAACGGCGGGGAGGAGAAACTGATGAGACGGTAGAAGAGCAAGGGTGGCTTGCGAGACTCGTCCACTTAATTCAGGGATCGGACAATGATACACAGCTGAAGGTAGGATCTTTTGCTAGATGTTTTATACGTATAACTAACAGTCTGTGACAGCTTCTCCAAGCAACGCGCAAGGCATTGGCCGATGGTAACGAGCGAATCCGCTATACCACCCCTGCAATCATAACGGCCTCGATCCGGTTGGCCCGCAAACTGAAGTCGCGCGAGCATTACGATGACAATTGGCAGTCACAGTCATCGGCTCTATACCGATTCATGCACCAGAGCATCAACAGTTTGTACCAGCGCGTAAATCCAGGTTGCGCCGATCTCGCACTGCGGCTGTTTGTCATGTGTGGCGAGGTTGCCGATCAAACAGGATTCGAAGAAGTCAGCTACGAGTTCTTTGCGCAGGCATTCACCATCTATGAAGATGCAATCAGCGACTCGCGCGCCCAGTTCCAGGCCGTCTGCATTATTTCAGGTGCCCTACACGGGAGCCGTGGATTCTCCAAGGAGAATTATGACACACTCATTACTAAAGCTGCGCTGCACGGAAGCAAACTCCTCAAGAAGCCCGATCAGTGCCGGGCTGTTTATCTTGCAAGCCACCTTTGGTGGGTAGTTGAGAACCCTCAACGCGGAGAAGATGATCCCAAAGATGTAAGTCTTATCTCCGATTCCAATCAATATCTTAGCATCTTTTAGCTGACATCAACTTCTAGCTCTATCGCGACGGGAAACGAGTCCTCGAGTGCCTCCAGCGCGCCCTCCGTGTGGCCGACGCCTGCATGGACACCGCTGTCTCCGTCGAGCTCTTTGTGGAAATCCTCAACCGCTATGTCTACTATTTCGACCAGCAGAACGAGACCGTCACTACCAAGTACCTGAACGGTCTCATCGAACTCATCCACTCCAATCTCCAGACCAGCGAAGATGAGCCAAACGCTAGTCTTGACGGCCCGAAGCGTCATTTCCAACGCACGCTGGAGTATATTCGCTCTCGCGAATACGAAGGCATTGTGACAGATCCACCAAAGTAATTGCCTGATGTCCAATCCATTTTGATCAGGACATACACGTGATCTTCAAGTAGCCCTGTATGTGATGTGCTATGTTGTATTCTTGCTTTGGGTCTCCTTGTAGGACCTGTCTTTGTGCTCTCTATTTCCTTGGTCTATTTTGTCTTTATCTTGTTCCTGGAAGCCTGCCTCTTTTTCTTCTGTTGCTCCTCGGTTTCTTTCATTCCTAGTATATACAAGTGTATCATTGTCTCTGGATAACACCATACCCTTTCAACATGATTTGTATTCGCCATGGACTTCTTTTTCCCCTTTCTGTAGAACAAAGCGCCGATGGGTTTCTTGGTAATGGAAAATATAATCACATCCATAGGAGAGAGAGCTATGCCGATTCCCTTCGGAATATATAAACCCTATTTTGCATAGCACGTGATAAAGTTCTACGTTGCCAAGTTCTACAAGTTCTACGCTAAACGCCAAACGAAAGCCGAAGAAACCTTCGATCATGCAATTGGTCAAGGACGATGACGGAGTGGGAGACTAACCCAATCTCCACGGATATCGCTGCATAATGTAGAAAGGCCAAAGACTCATACCGTACATAAAAACAAATCCGGAAGCCATACTTCGAAGAGTAAAGCATTCAACCACATTGGAAAACCAAGAAAATAAACAACCCATATCAATAGCAGTGACTCTTTCGAGTAGAAAGATGTAGACAGATGTGTGAGTATGACGTTAATCCATGACGCTTCAATAAAAGTGAAAAAAAAGAACTGAAAAAAAGAATAGATGAGGGCATTTCAAAGTCGTTCCAGCAGTGTGGAAAGGAGGCCGAAGAAAAATCCCAAGGCCGGGTTGGCGTCAAATCATGATCAGGATAGAGGAGTCCCGCCGAATAAGCCAGTCGGAGGCGAAGAATATTGCCGCAGCGCGGAGGAGGGTCCGCCAAATCCAGCGAAGGGGGCTGGGTGGCTGTTACTAGGGACCGGGCTGCCGATATCGCCAGGCACAATGCTGCCCCGATGACCGGAGACCGCACTGTTAGGGTCGGGCTCGAATCGGACAGACTTGCCGTTCGGGGTTTCCTTGATAGAGAACGACCCGCCACCATTCTGTGGGCTCCCTTCCGTATCGCAGATATCAAGCATTTCATCCAAAGAGATCGATGGCTCGCCTGAGCTGCGCAGCTGGTCCACCTGGCCGAGAACAAGGTTTACATCGTGGAAGCTTCCAGCACCCTTCTGCGGGCTGGTCATCGAGTTCAGGTGCTTGCATGCTTGGATGACCAACAGGCGAATTGTAACGGGTCGAGAAGTGTGAGGTCGGTGATGACCGGCTGCTGAGAAGGCATTATTGGGAGGCCAGCCAGTCCCGCTTGAGGCGTGTGTCCAAGTGGAAGGAGCGAAGGGGCCGCCAAAGGGCGCCGTCTGCATAGACCGCCATGGACTGTTGCCTATTGGAGAACCAACGGCGAAGTTAGTCTGTGGGGATCCTAGAGGGTCCGAGAACAAAGTTGACCCTTGGAAGCTAGCACGCGTTGGCCCCGGGAATGCCCCGGGTGCCGGGGCACCAGGCAATGATTGAGACAGATTCGATGGATATGTAGCATCGGTGTCATCAAGGAGCGCACTGCTACCTAGGTGAGCACTCAAGCCATCCACTTCTCGC